ATGAGTATATTTTTGCTGATTTATTTTAAATTTGTGAAAGAACTGTGCAGCGTGCACGTTGTTGCCATGGTTTCAGTTCTAATATGAGAGCTGTTAACCGCCTTCGCGTCGCTCTTAGGGCACTGCCAGTTACTGCTGCTCTCAACTTCAACAGCCACCTAAAGTGCACTAGTTTCTGTTATCTGAGCACAAAAAACATGCAAAACTAAGTTACCGTACTTGAGTTTGTATCCCCTTTTTAATATGATTTAATTTGGCTCTAAAAGACAGACCTTTCTCATGTAAGGTTTAATAATTATGCCAAACGTTTACCTGACGTTCACAGTTTAAACTCAAAATATATGTAGAGTTGTGTCTATACCTGTACACAACATAATATTACACATCAAAGCACAGGATTAGTTTTATTTGAAACATGAAATTATAAAGCAGCTTTTTTAAAGTTTTTAAAATGTTCCACCTACATTCCTAACAACTCTTTGTCATTGTGTTTCTAATATAATTGTATATTCCTTATTGTCATTTTCGCATTAAAAAATGTACATATGAAAGCAGTTTTTTCTGGTTCAAATAAATCCCCGTGACGATCGTATGACTGGTGTGTTAGTCTGGCACACGCAAAATGAAAGGTGAGACACTGACTCTTGTGTCTTATCAAAGTTTCCTTTTGTTTCAGCTGCCCCTTTCTGTGCATATCAATGGTGAGACAACCAACTTGTAATTTTCCCACAGACTTCTTGCTGTACCGTCTGCAGAGGCTGCGCTTTGCTCATATCAGGAATCTAGGCTCACTACGACATCCCGTATGATCTTCTTGGTATGAACTTGAAATCACCTCTCTAGATGACATTTCCATCCAGCCTTCTTCCCACAGTTTCTCACAATATGTCTCAATGTCTCTCAGACAGAGGACCAATGTATAGAGATGTGTCTCAGTAAATTAGAAAATCTTTAAGTTAATTTATTTCAGTAATTTAGTTCCGATATTGAAACATATTTTCTACATAATTAATTACAGGCAAAATGATAGATTTAAATGGATTATTAATATTAATGGTTACGACTAAAAACAAATGAATACCCCCAGACAAAAATGAGAAAATTGCATTCTAAAAAAAACCAAGTGTAGAATGTATTTAACATAGGAATTATACGGCCATGGAAAGGGAAATACTGACTCGATAGTTGTCAGACAGTCGTTGACACAAAAAGAGACAGTCAATCTTACCAAAGCTGGTAGTTTACTCACTGCTGTATGTAAGCATATGAATGGAAGACTAAGTGAGAGATTCAAAAGGCACTAAGTGTTTCAAGAACTACACCACACAATCTTATCGCCATGTGATAAACCCGTCCTGGGCCAGCGACAGCGTCAATATCATCCTAACTGGGCTGAGAAGAAAACCACCTCCTGTTGCTCTGTGGAGCAGATTTTTTTTTTTAAAAAAACAGAAGATAATTTTACATTTTGAAAATCGATTTTTTTAGTGTGTCTGTCAGCTGAACATAGATACACGGTTCAATAAGTTGACATTTCTGTATGCATTTTCTTTTTCGGGGTTTTTTTTTTTTTAATCGTCAAAAGGAACTGAAAGTAAGCTGTGTAATGAACCAAGCTATTTTAAACCGTATACAATTAAATTTTAGAAATTGATGTGCCGACATAAATAATCTTTTTCAAGAATATTCTGATTTCTTCAGACCCACCTTTTCCTTTTAACTCATGTAAAGCACTTTGAATTGCCTTGTTGCTGAAAATGTGCTATATAAATAAAATCCTTACCTTTACTGTCTGGTGGAAAGGACTGAGGACCTTGAACTAAATGTTGACTGAAGGAGGTAATGATTTGAAAATCTGTGAGCCGTAGGAAGCAGTGAGGAAAATAACCAAAGATGAAAAAGATAGTGGTAGATAATAAGACATGAATAAAAGACACCCTTGGTGACACATCAGCTTTAGTTTATTGGTGATCCTCCTTTGCTGTAGGTGACAAAATGAATAAAATTTTCAACACATTAATATAAGCAAAGGAAAGGAAAGGCTAACAGTTGAGTTGCATCAGTTTCATGTTTTTGTATATTTAACTATTAATCATTCATATCAGTTTGTGTTCTTTTTTTTTTTTTTCTAAATTCCTGTCACTCAGTTCTTGACTCACACTCAACGGACACCAGAATCCCATATTTAGATTAAACATTTGATGAATTACAACATTTTAATTTTGTCTGAGCTGTTAGAATAAAAGTGACCCGAGAAAAGAGCCTTGTGGATCCCCAAATGTGATGTTTGTTCACTCAGATTTGTAACTGCCGATTAATAGATGGCGCTTTCAGTGTGCCAAAGAGGATCTGACACAGTCTAGCGTGCAAGATTCCACCCACACGCACTCTGGTCGACTCGGGTCACAAGTTCTTCTTCCACCGCTGATTTGTAGATCTCATGCCAAAACATCAGAGGCTGAGAGGAATCCTAGAGAGGATTAAGATTCTTTTTTCTTTTTTCTTTTTTTTTTAAATGGACTTCAATTTAAAGTTCTGTGATAAAAACATAGCTGAATAAAATTCATGAAACGTTGTTGGTGTAAAATTCTGCAATTATCAATGTGTTTCTAAGGGGAATCCCTGCCTAAGTCAGCAACCATTTATAGCTGAAAAAGAAAATCTGACCACAGACCAAAAACAGATCACCAAAAAAAAAACAAGATAGTGAGTTAATGAATTACAATAATCATGCTTTTTAACTAAGAAGAGTTGAATTAAAGGATTTTAATCATAACAATTATTTCTGATAAAATTATTTCTTTGCTCTCAGTGTTTTGTTTGCTTAAGCTGTCTGTCTTTCACAACAGTGGACTTGTAATGTAACAAGCCTATTAAAAAAAAATGTCTGACTTCTCTCTTTTTACTTGGCTGGGTTTTATCCCTTTTAAATTTACTTCTTTCCACCGATAGTTTTAAAATTGCACTCTCAGCAGTCATTTCCATGAAAAGGAAAAACTCTAAAAGTGATTTTAAAAAGTTTGGTTGATCCACAGAAAACGTCAGCCTCTTTGTTGAGATTCTTCTGCAGCCTCGCCCGGCTCCAAGCGTAGCTGCCCTCAATTCTGTCTGTGGCACCATGCATTCATTTCTCACAGTTAAACCACAAAGATGCAGCGCATTCATGCTGCGATCATGCCAACGGTGCAGCCAATAAATGAAACAACTTGATGTGGTTACAACTTCCTTACAACTTCAGCTCAAGCCTGCATGAGCGACATTTGATCTGTGCAAACTGTAGCTGAAACCTAAGAAAGAAAAACAAGGCCAGAAAGTGGCTCGGGTGGTGGGGACCAGAGATATGGTCTGCCTTAGCCCCCTAACTGTAAGAAAAAATATGAGTCATGCTGCACAACGCTTGGCTATGTCTGTGGTGCACTTGAGCAAGGCACAGAGTATGCTAAGAGTGACTGCTCAATACTTGGAGCGCTGGGGTGACAAGGAGATATTTTAAAATTGATCATCTATTTCTAAGGAGGATTTTAAAATATAACACACATGCATCCTGATTTTTATTTCAGTTTGATCTATTTGTGGTGTATACAATTTTCACACTTTGCAAGTTTTTTTTTCTATCCTGTCCATACTCAGATGTTTACTTCATTGTATTTTTCCCACAATGAACAGGTTTTAATGTGAAGAAGAGCAACAAAAATAAAAGACTGAATGAAAGAAAAGCAAAACAACTTCCACCGTTTGAACTTGCATATCTTACAATTATATAATTTTTTTAATCAATTACTCACTCTAAAGCATGTTGTGTAAATGTTAAATTAACTTAAGAATGACTTCTTCTTTTTTTTTTTGCTAAAGTGTTAGCAAGTTATTCGCTATTGAAAAGTACAAACTTCTGTATTAACACATTAACAAGCCACTACATGTTTTACTGAATTGATGTTAAACATGTTTACAGTATAATTTTCTGTAAGATATACCAGTAAACGGATACACAGTATCCAATGTCACTGTCATTCACATAATGTAAAATTGAGTTGTTGTTGTTTTTTTACAAATCTCAGTTCATACTGCTGCTATAATGGTAAAGCTAGTGAGAAACAATGCATGTTCTTCTATAGTAATTGTTCACGAGTCTCATGTAATGCTCTGCTGTCCTCTAGTGGATGAGTTTAAAACTACAGTTCCGACGCATGAGAGATTTGAGTTTAGGGACGTTTCATTTGGTTCATCAATGTATCATGTAAGAATATCACAACAAGTGGATATATCATTCCCTGTCAGTTTATAATGTTGAACATTAGTTTCGTCATCATCACTTTCGGTCATTCTACATTACAAATCACACATTTTACATGGTAAAATACATGGTATGAACTCAGAGAGTTTTCAAGAACTTCTTAACAATCTTTTTGAATTTCAAAGTCTAAAATGATCACTTTTAGTCTATGAATTATTATGACTGTGTGTCTCGAATTGATCATTTGAAACTATATAATAATCTTGTCTCTCTAAATTACGATTTAAATATCAGAACTTCAAAGGTTAAAATCAAGACTAAGAGAATCAAATGTATTACTTTGAATCTATTTGATCGTGTATGACTTTGACTCAATTTTTGATCTCTGAGGGAAACTGTTCCCACATCGATGGGGCGTTCAAGCACTCAAAAAGCCCATAATTCCCTAACCACTGGTGCAGATGTGGAGGATTACTAAGCCGTGTCGGGTGTTCACTTAACTAACAATTAACTCACGATGACTGAGTTTGTGTGGAAAAACAAACGTTTTGCTGTTTATCACACTGTGACCGTATCTAAGAAACAGCGCAGAAATAAAAAAAAAATAACAAAACAGTACGGTTTTTAAGATTTTGTTTTTTTAGAGTACATGTGTTGTATGTATTTATTTACTTTTTATTTGTAACCATTTATTGTACTCAATGATCCCATTTTTCTTTACAGTTCTGTACAAATTAGGTGGTTACCTCGGCGAAAGCTTTTTGATTCATGCTCGTTTTCGACCGTACGTGAAGGCAACACTACATTGCTTTACTTTACTGAGCTCGTGGAGTATCTTATTCAACAACGGCTGAGTTTGGGGGACTAAATTTAGCTTTATGATCGGGGTTTTGTCATAGTAACTAGAAATTTTACCTGACATAGAAACGTGGCGGTGTTTTCACCGCTTTTGTAGTCGGGGTAAAGAAGAAACTTCCAGGTTAAATCTGGGAGGATGCGAGCAGCCGATGGAGCGCTGACTGTATGGATGTAGCTGGGACACGATGCTAGCAAGCTAACTGGCCGCAGAGGTAGGAGGAGAAAAATCTTCTCTATCGTTTTGTGTTTTTTTTTTATTTCTATTGTTAGTAAAAGACGCTCATTTAAAATCATAACGTTTTCCATGGGTGGTGGTAACTTAAAAAAGATGTTCGATGTTTTTAGAGGGGGAATGCTCTTAGTTGAAGAGGGGCAGTAAACTTTCAGAAACTCCTTCAAAGCTGCGGCCCAACAGCAACTTAATGCTGCTGACTGATTACATGGTGTACATTCAGGGTTTCTTTGATTATGCTTATACTCTGTTGGTTACAGTGGCTGCTCAAGAAAATCAATCTGATAAGTGGTAAGTTAAAAAAAGAGTACCATTCCTCTGGTTTGCAGTGTTGTAGATGCAGTGTAAAGCTGATAAACATTACAGTTTATCTCCATTGTAAATATATTTAAATAGACTGTTTTATAGAGAGATACTTTTTAGTGTCTTGTAACATTTATAATATGAAAATGTCTTGATTCAATGAAAAGCAAAACTAAGCAGAGCTAAGTCTGTAGTGAAATGTATTTACATTACTTATCCCTTTAGTAAAATGGTTCAAATATACATTTAAAAAGTCACTTTGAAAAGTTTATTTAGGATACTTGCACCAAGTGATGTGTTTTATGTTGCTGTATGTAGTTGTCAATGTTAGTGTTGGAGTTTATATACTTTTGAATTTATACCCCATCACATTGTTGCATATTGAAATTCACGAAAGTATATAAACATACATTATGGCAACTAAATAGTATTCTAGCTTCACCTTCCTGCTTGTTGGTATTGGTGTTGACCAAATATCAACACCACATAATGTGACGCTACCCTCTGTGTGCTCAGTGTGCATTGATGGAAGATTCATTCACCTCTGTATGCTGAATGCTTGAAGCAGCTCCAGCATCAAGATGCTGTGTGGGATTAATTCAGCTGTTAATCACTGGAGCACTTTGGTAAAGAGTCATAGACTTTTGTAAGGAGCATTGAACTTTCATCCACTGGTAGTCAGGCAAACAGGAAGTATAAAGAAACTAGATTAAACTGTGAATTAGTCAGAACATCCTTTTCCTCTGCAGCACTCCTAAATGCTTTCTCTTTGATACAGAAGTTGCAACGCTTTGCTTGGCTTAGCTCTGGCTGTTTTAATGTCAAGGGGAAAGTCCAGGTTTTATCATAGTTTTTTTGTAATTAGTCTCCAGAAACTGAGGTTTACATGTTTCCTTTAATGTGTAAATGATTCGGTATTCACCAGGTTAGACATTTATTTAAATCTAACCTCATGGATAGAAAACTAGATACCAGAGAGGTAATTATTTATTAAGCAAAGAGAAAACCAAAGATATGGAAAAGTTTGAAACATGTACGCCCTTAAAATGCATAAGCCAGAGAATGTAAAGAGTTTGAGCTTTATTTTTACTGTGATGGCTTCAACCATGTTAATGTGTACAAGAAGTCAAACCTCCATGAGAGGGTCCCAGTCACCACTTCTTTGTGTTCACTTGCTCTTGCTCTACTTGTAATTCTGGGCTTCATCTCTTATCATTTGTCCACAAAGCAGAAGAGAAGAAGTAGAACAGTGTAAAGATAGAGTGGACAGAGAAGTTATAAGCTTGCAACATCCTCTTTGACTAGACAGGAACAACAAAGATCAAGGCAGTTTAAACACAAGCTGTTGAGGTTTGAAAATCACGTTTTCAAAAGGTTTAACACGTCTTGCAAATTCGTGACATAAAAATTCAAGTGTATCATGTCAAGCATTGTGAATTGCTTGTTGCAGAAATTTGCTATGCAAATAAACCAGACTTCACAACTGTGACAGGCAGTAAAGTGAGATCTCAATCCCCAAAAAGTAACAAGTGAAAGGTAAATTTAACACCAAGTTCTACTCCAGTGACCCAAATATTTGCAGCATTGATTCCTGTATGAAGGTAGCTTTAGCTTCAGTCAGCGAAAAGCCTTTCCACCCCGCAGCACTCTCATTAGTTGGCTTGTGATTTCTGTGCAATGAAATATCTCTGCAGTTTATGCATTCCTGAGCTCTGACCTGGGGGCAAGTGGCTTAACCCCCTCAGCTTCACAGACCTGCCAGCGGGACGGTCATTAAAAACCCACGCTGAGTATCCCCACTCGGTTCAGACTTGCATTCCTCTAGATGGGTTTCCTCGGCAGCCACAGATATGAGTGTTGCCAAAACACACATGAGTGATTGATTGGTTTAGAGGTGAATTTAGAGGTGTTCACCTTTTGCATCAGGTTATGAGGATATTGAGGGTTTGTGAAGACGTACAAAACATGAAAAATTAATAACTGGTTGAAATAAATTCTGCATGGAAGACAAAATATGTCTTTGTTGTTGTAACAGAAGAAACATTTTTTAAGAGCTTCTGGTCTTTATCACAAGGTTCAAGTTTCCTTTAGGTCATGGTCCTATTTTCTGACTTAATAAATTTTCTAGGCTTGTGATCATCAAGCCTAGAAAATGCTAACAAAAGCCACTGAAGGCATCTGCAGTTATTCAAACATGTTTCAATATGTTTTTAATAGAGATGTGCCGATCAGGTTTTTTCCTGCCGATACCGATCACATAATTATTATTCATTTATTTT